GGGATGAAGGATAGCAAGGAACTGACAAGCGTGTCCGAACCCAGCAATACTGATAACCACTTGGTAGTGTGTACAAGGTTGCCAGAGGTGCTCAGTTTATCATTGTCCTTTGCGTACAAGCTAACTATTCCGCCAAGATATTCATCTGATTGACCACTGGGCTGTCCTTATTCGTTGAAGCACCTGGCCGCCATCAGCTGGGTGGTCATCGGCTGTCAGCTGATCAGCTTGTAGTATACAACGGGATCACCAGATATGGATACGAAGTGGATTTTGTTGGATAGGAGCCAAAACAGATTGCTCGAGAGGAAATGAGCTTGAGTGAGCTGAATGATCGAACGCTGCAAAGACTATTCACTGGGATCCATTTTGGTGAAGTGCATTTAGCTCTGATGCTGAGTGTAACTCCCGTGCCATACATCCCTCGAGCCCTCACCTAAGGATCACCAGACACACAAAGGGAGTGAGGTGAAAGAGCTGAGTCCGTCCTTGGCGTTGCGAGATGGATAAGCGCAATTGGGTATCCTTTACGTGTTTCGGAGACGTATCATACGCAGAATACTTTAAGGGGGTGTGAGGTTTCAAGCGTGTATTCCTTGTTTGTCAATTTGACATAGCGTACGGACGTTAAAAGCTCTTAAGTAGAAAACATCCAGTGCATTTAGTAAGGTGTCGTTTTGTTTATTGTTAATAGGTAGCGGGAAGTATAGGGCACATCGGTCAGATAACCGACTGTCAAGTAACTCAGCAAATTTTGCTCGTTTGGTGGAAATGGGTTGGGGAGGGTCATTGTTAGACACAAAACTATGCGGTAAAATGATAGCTACCGGTTGCCCAGGCCTATAAAGGTGTTTTTTTGAAGTAATTCAACATGAGCTTTTGACTCGAAAGCCTTGCTTATAAGGCAATGAGAGAGGACCCTTGTTGGAGCCGAGGGCTTGATAGTCCTACCTGCATGGCTGCAGGGCTGCATATAAGTCAAAGAAGACAACAATTGTTTTCACGGAAAGAGCGTCACTGATCCTCAGTCTGTCGATGGTTTGAAATGTGATGGATACATCCTGTTGCAGGACAAAACCCGGCTTGGTTTTCGCAAATCTGCCTCTCCCTGTGTTCAGTCAACTGTCGAAAGGTTGAGTCATATTGGTCCTTCGATGCCACAGCTATCGGAGTGATGCTATGTTGGTTTTCACACAGCGTCTGCGTACCCTTTTTGATGATAGAAATCAGTGTCAACCGTCCCATTCTGCAGGCCCTTTTTTCGTTCCACATAGAACCAACAAGATGGTCACCAGGAGTTCTCCGCTTTGTTTGAAAATGATTGGATGCAGACCATTTGATCCCAGTGCCTTCCCACGCTTCATCATCAATATTTCGTACTTAGTTTGTTTTTCCGACGGAGAATTATGGTGTACACGTAGGAACATATATTATGGTATAATGTCACGTTTAGTTCGTTTGAGGAGTGTAGGGCAAGTCTAGTCATGTGATCATCTTGTAACGACCGACGTCTGGAACAACCGTTGAGTTGGTCTTATTGGCAAGACTTTGGGGGAGGGTGGGATATGAATAAACCGAAAAACATTTCACTGCTTTTTAAGACAAAATACCCATGTACTTTTGCCTCTGTTATATTGTCAGTAATTGGTGGACTCGATTGAAAAGAGAAGCGCAAGCTTTACGAGCCTGTATCTGAGAGGATCGACTATAAAACTTACGGAAAAGTTGAGTACAATAACCTTGTGAAACAATCACGGGATATCATCTCATCAACAGCGTATATAACCTTGAAATCCGAGTGAATTAATGTTAAAACTTTTACGAAACCCTGCAGATGCGCTTGGCAAATTTCCATGTCACACTCTACAGAAGCTGTCTGCTCAGTTTTTGAAGGAAACTTTTACAGTCTTGTTCGTTCGATATACGAGCGTCTACAATCGGCTAAGATTAGAGCTGCAATTTCAATGGTTTAATTGTTTCATACCTCAGAAAAGAAGTTAACACCCAGTTAAGTGAGGATTCTGAACGTGCTCAACTTTTTGAAAAATTTTCCCGTTGTCCCACCCATTCACGGGTATGGATGGTAGTAGTAGCTCTCCTAATAGTACAGCGGCACTAGCCGCTGCACTATATATCCAAACATCACCAAATTGTTCAGTCCCCACTGCTGAGAATTCCTCTGCTAAACCTTCCGAAGAAGACAGAAGCAAGGAAGCTAGCAAAAATAGAAGCTCCTACCACAACCAACCGGATTCAAGAACGAAGGCTACAAAGAATCACAGACCTGGAACGGACCGACTGCAAACAGACCCGAAGCATCCCGAAGCAACCATCCAACAAACCAATGGAATAAGAGTCATAAAGGCAATAATGCAGCAAGGATCACGGTCGATCCTATTATAAAGCCAATCACATGACAGGATATTAGATACTCTTCAAGAACTACATAAAGGCAGCTAGGCACGGAGGAAGCATCCACCCAATTGCGCACTGACGATGTCTCCTCGACTGGGGACGAAACGTTTGAAAGCCAACTGCCAAGGTCGGCGAACAGATCAGCTGCCATCTGATAAACTACCAGAAGACAGATCTCTCGGTATGAGGATTACCCTAATTCTGCTACTGTACGTCTGCTCCATCAACACAGATATTCTTTCCATTATCAGTGATTAAGTAGATCTGTTTCTGTCCCTAACACACGTTTCGAGTTATGTGGTACCGAATTTGCACACAATTGGTGCTGCTAAATCTTTTAACGGCATGCAATACTGGGTTGGTTTGACTTTTTGGTTCCCTACAAGTGTCGAGTTGCCTCAGCCACACCAAACGCTATTATCCAAGGAAAAATCTCAGAAGCCCATATTGGTAGATCATATTTCACACTGCCACGTGAAGCCATTGTGCTGGTCTCAATCGAGTTCGATGAAGATTATGTGGGCCGTACTAGCACACCAACGTTATAAATTTTCCTAAGCCCATGGACTTGAAATCTGAGCAAGCATAGCACCATATTGGCCAGTGTTTGGGATCAACAGCAAGGTAAAATTACTGATTGGTGTAGCGGACATTTCCATGTCCCCTCAACCAACTTCACTTAATTTGTCCAGTACATGGGTGTTTACTAGATCCCACGACTTACCTGCTACACAAGCACACAAGTCACGTGACAAACGCTGTTCCACCCGCAACCTTGACCGACTACAAGTCAGTTCCTGTCTTGTACGCATCGGAACGATTCATATTTTATACACACATCAAACTTTCCTATATATAGGAAGCGACAACACAGTCAACACGCACAGACTCGCGCGCGCGCAGGGAGCAGGACGTCAACCTATCCACAAGTCCACGGACAATCATGGAACACGTGTAGCAACCAAACTGCGGAGAAAACACGTTCCCACCGTCCGGACTTTCACCAAGGGACTCTCACATACGATAAGTTCCTTTATTGACTTGCTCCCATTCCGCATTGTATTCATTTTTATACGTGTCGCAACCACACTAACTATCTCTATTAGTGCACACACGCCTTCTGAATTGAATTACTCTCATCATCAGCTGAGCACTAATATTGGTACACGATTTGTGTACATGAAGTGATGCATGAATACAGGTGGTCTTGTTGTAGCGTTTCTGTGGCGTTTCTTAATACAAGATGACGTTTCATCGTTGGATTGCCTGTAAGTCTGGTGAGTCAATGTAACAACATGTGAGGATTTGTCCAACAGAATTTCGTCGCACCACTTAAGGTCTATTGGTTCATTTAAATCCAGTTGTTGTTTTTTTGTATGGACAATCTGCCACGCTGCTCAGACATTGGTATGTTCAACCCCTCACCATACATTTGTGTCTCACTTGGGCCCTTCAACAAAACCCCGAAGATTCGACTACAATAAACCGACAGACCTACAAAATACTTACACGAATCAACATAGAAGTGCAGCAAACTTGCGTTTGTGAAACTGGTTAATCTTTTCAAGTGATGAGCGCTATTGAAAAAAAGCTATGCTGCTTTCGATGTAATCGTAACAAAGCCCATTTCTACGCGGATACATGTACGGGATGTCTTATTGACCGAAACATATGATTCTTCACCGTTACCGTTTGTTATGTCTGTTATCAGCATTGAGTAAAACCCAATAGTACACTTTTACACTGCTTGGGTAAACCTTGCTCCAACCCATCTTATACCTGGATTCGGTGCATTAAATGAAGATTGCTTTTCACTTTTTCTGAAATATTTCGATATCTTTTACATTCCTTGTCCCCCCAAACAATGCAGGCTACTTTTACAAAGAGTAATCATGAACCCTAGGAATTCGATTCCTTGTATAGGGCTTCAGAACGTGTTTTTACTATTTTGGGCTATGGGTTAATTTTTTCAAACATGCTAATATTCTTGGACAGACTACACACACCTACTGATCAACCTGTTTCCCAATTCTCCCGCTCTCTTGTGTACACAGCCCAGGTTCAAAAAATATTTTCACGCTGACACCGTATACTCTAAATGGCATTGAGAACTTGTCAAGCTGAAGAGCAACCCACTGATTTCAGCAACACTGTCAACACTGAAAGGCTGGACTGTCACTGGCAATCAGGACCAGTAGCTGACTTGTAGAGCCCAAAGCTTTTACATCATTTGAGTCAATAGAACACGCGGCATGGAAGGAAGACTATTGGCAGACGAGTTTTTCCGGGGGATCAAATGATACTGGTCAAATCTGCAAACTCCCCGAGTTATCATTTTCATCAAAAGTTTGATGACAATCAAAACTGCCCTCTCTGACCTCAGGAAAGTGATTGATATCTTGCGGTTTCTCGTGTTAAGAAGGAGAACTTTCTTTGTGATGTTGTTTTCAATGGAGGTGCTTATGATGCAACCACTTTAAATCGCCAACTGCCCGGTAAAACAGATTATAAAAAAGCCTTATATTAGATGAAAAGGAGAGATAAATTGTCTGCGCATTGTTAGAACTCAGTCAATAGGGTGGGGGTCAAATGGATTCCGGTCTGTCAGACTCTTCAGTTGATCGTGCCAACAGATAGGCAAAGAGCTTCTTTCCTTCTCTTTCCAACACATGTGTGGCCACAGTTCGGTAACCTTTGGAGAGTAACATATTCCAAAGCTGAAGTAACTGCTGACGTCGCAGGTAATGCCATCGGATGCAGTTTTCATTTTCGGAGTCTATATGCTTGTCTGAGTTGCCTTCTCTGCACTGACATGAATTTGAGATAAACTGCTGCAGCTGTCTAAGAATTCTCAAAGCATTTTGAGGGTCCTCCAAATTTGAAAGCTGAAGGAAACCACTGAATGGAGGACATTGGTCCGTCTCTAACCAAAGACATCCACCAGGTTTTTTCAACCCATTGGAATCGACTAAATTCTTCTGGAGAGTGCCAAAAACTAGCCCGTTCTTTAAAGAGCACTGCGGAGTGGACCGATCGACGTATTCTTTACTTAGTCTTCTATCTTCCAAAACTTGTCGCCGCTTCTCAAGGGGACCATTATTTTTTACATTCGCCTCAAGAAGCATTGTCCGCTTCCGATTCTGGCTGACAGTCCGTCTTTCTGAAATTTTCTGTAGGGCAACCAACATTTCTTGTAGTTCGTAATGCTTAGCCTCTTCAACCAACTGGTCAAACTCCACGAATCCATCGTCGAGGTTAAGTAGGCCGGTCCTCAGGAAGTTCAGAACATGACGAAATAATGCTCCATCGCGATCAATAAAATAGTGCTGTTTCATCGTATCCAATACTATTGGAATAGAACCATTGAACATGCGACCCAAACGCGAGTGAGGATATCTGTTGGGTAAAATAAAACAGAGAAACAACATAGTTGGCTTTTCTACGGGTGATGTTTGGGGCGAGATTTAATAAATACATCAGATAAAAATGCAGTCTGGTTCATTACGAACTAATAATTGTTATCCAATGATGAGCTGTTCCAAAGGAGATCCTTGGTTAATTTCCACTGGTAGATGACCTTTTTCAATTAGACACACAACTGTTAAGTAAAGTAGAGGAGACCAAACAAAAGTAACAAAAAGTAACTCTCGAAGAATGGTCTCTCACTTGGGAAATCCCGCTAGCGGGGCAGTCAGCCCGTTCCACAAGAACACCAATGAAAGCGAATTCTCAAGCAAATGGACAAACTGGACTGGACAACTGTTTGCTGTAATATGAAAAACGATAAGCGCATGGATAACTACTCATCAGAGAGGTGAAGCATCTGTTCATCGAAAGGCTTTCTACTATTTTGCACAGAAAAAATCTTTTTTTGGGAAAGTGTGTTGTTGTTCATAGTCGATTTTTATTTTTCTTGTTTCCCAATCCAAACTGTATGAAGTGGCTGAATCATAGTTCACTCACAACAGGGAGTGCCGTCCTCTACAGCAGTAACCCCAAGGGTTGAGACTTTGGCAACTACTCATGTGGTCTGGGCAGAAATGAAAAAAATACATCACCTTCAGTCTTTTTGTTCATCGCCAATTCATTGATTTCCACTTCACTAAACTGTCAAACCACTGAACTTCCGCCCTTCCACTTTTAGTTAATCAACCATCAAATTTTTGATTAACAATCTAATCCCGTACACTTTGTTGATCCATAACTTAATCAGGTCTATGAATCCAGTTACTAGTGAGTAGTCGAAATACCCTTGATTTTGGTGACAATCGAGATGGAACCGTCAATCAGTAAGCCATGGGTTTGATAGCTGCCCGCCCACAGACTTGCTAAACCATACGCATCTTGTGCACACGTTGGTTGACGACTGCTCGGTGTCGAGGTTGGAGGCGTGAACTTTGAACTTGAATATTGGGCTATCGGGTCAAGCCGAATCCAACTGACAAGTCTCAATCAAAACGAAGCTCCTGGTGACTTGTTCCTGAGGGGCGAAGGACTTCCACTCCATAGTTTGATGTGTTGGTGATCCTTTTGGAACAATACATAAAATACTGCAATTCTGATATCCCTCGGTGAACTTAGAAGTTCAGGCTGATACAGTATAAATGCACGGATATCCCAGTCTCAAATGACGGTAATCAGTTCTTATTCCACGTGAAAAGTGCAGGATCGATCAATGCTCCGGACATCAACATAACAATAACCACAGTTGGATGACGGAGGTCATCTCACTGCTATTCAGTACGGTCATCATGTGATCTCGTGTAAGCATGTTACGCAAGACCAGGCAAGCAAATAACTTTCACGTCCCCTGGTTAGCTAAATTCGGACACATTCAAAATGGTGGAAATGCATGGCCACTAAGAGGCCCGTATTCGTTTGTGCTCGAATATGCACTGGGGTAACAAGTCACTCAGAACACGTCAAGGTGAAGAGACATTCTGAATCAAGACTTTTTGGTCAATCCACGAAACTTTGGCCAAAGGTATTCTCATTCCTCAAGGGATAGTTACAGATGAAGTGCGGTTGAAAAAACCCCTACCAGTTGATAGTTACTCAGAGTCCCTTTTGCGTAGAGAGTACGCTAAACCAAAGATTGATCCTGTTTATAGTAATCAGAAAGTACACTGCTTGGCTATCACCTTTCAAAGGTGATCCACTATCTGCCAGAATTTGACGCGAATTCGGAAAGCCCTCCAATTTCGCTTCTGTTGCGTATGTCTCAGCTCACTCGGCTGATCACACCGAAATCAGTCCCAAAAGGCAAGACCGTCTATGTCGGTGACGATTAAGTAACTGGTCGGCCTCTCTTTGAAGCAACGGCTGAGGACAATTCGAAATGCCCAACACGCACAAGATGACAACAGCCAATAAATCATAAGTGAATTGCACGGAATCCACATTTGCTGATTGGGGGTGCCACCTAACTAAATGTGATTCACTCGGGCGTCGGCTGTTATCCTCTATCCTTTAACCACGTAAATTCTGATATTCATATTGAGTGAGGTGGAACAATTTGGACTGCTTGGCCGAGACACTAACCTTCAGATTAGGGACATTCCGTTCAGAGCGGTCCTCCCTAGCTGGACTTCCATGTCAGAGAATCAGCTATTTCTGAAAGTAACTTGTTCTACAGTATCCTTTACAGTATCCATTTTTTCCATATAAGACTGGTAGAAGCATATTTTCAGTCCGTCCTGCAGCTAACCTATCCTACCTTGAGACAGTGATCATGCACAGATATTTTGGTGCTTGTGGACTATTGTTTCTAGGCCCCTGGCTGCATTTTTTTGCGTTTTCGGTGGAAAAAATCAGAGGAAGTGCTTGCACTTCGAGATTAATGTCTTCATCCTGCTCCATTCGATGAAAAAGATCCAAGTACCAAGCCTGAGTGTAGGTACCTCAAGTTTTAACTGTCCATGATCCTACGTCAGAAATGTTTTATCTCTGAAGGAGGTGGTGTAAAGGGGTGCAGACAGATAGCAGTTAGTTCAGCGATCCCAGTTGTTGACTGGCAGTGTTCGTTAACTCCGCCCACGCATGTTGACAAGCCAACAGTCTCAAGTACATGGTTGTTTGGTTTAACAGGTACGTTCAGATGTGCAGGGAAGCTAACTACTAGCGAGTAATCAGAATTACATCTAACTTTCCATAATCCTCATGGCGTATGCGCCAAATAAGAAAACCTGAAATACTAAATTTTAAAAAAACGCATCTGCAGTCTTGTAAATATTAGGTCTTCCTAAAGGTGATGAAAAGTGACGAAAACATTCTAAAAATTCATTTCGACTCAATTGCAGAAGTCAATCGAAAACCAACTGAAAATCATCTATGCTTTGCGGAACACTGAGGTCGAGGACCGCTTGGTGTTGAATCTTAAAAAGGTAGATTTTGAGCCTGAACACCAAAACAATCTGGTCTCATTTCATCCGCCTGATCAGCCTCAAACAGGACAAAACTCTGGATGGATTAGCTTTCCGGAACTGACGATTTCTGTGGCCCACACATCACTATTTTTGTTGTCAAAAACACGCTACTCACAAAGTTACTGAAAACTCTTCGATATCCGGCTTTCCTAAGGCTCCTCGGATAGGCGTAGTCTCCGAATGTCCATCACCCTTTATTCTCAACAAACTGTGCGCAACTGGCAGAGTGTGAGCACTTTCAAACGAGAGATTCGAAGAAATCTCTCATTTACGAGAGTCTCCAACTGACACGCTACTACAAAGTTACTGAAAACTCTTCGATATCCGGCTTTCCTAAGGCTCCTCGGATAGGCGTAGTCTCCGAATGTCCATCACCCTTTATTCTCAACAAACTGTGCGCAACTGGCAGAGTGTGAGCACTTTCAAACGAGAGATTCGAAGAAATCTCTCATTTACGAGAGTCTCCAACTGATATGCCCCAAGAAGGGCGCAGCTGGTAAAGAGATCCAGAGAAGTTTCGAACAACCTTATGAGCAAATAGTTATGTTTATAAAATATGCTGTGGTGTTTCTAATACTCTGTCAACTGAAACATGATTCTGCCTTTGTGAAGCACATTCTGTTGAAGAACGTCATAAGTGGGGGATTCAGTTGAGCCTCCCCCATTTACCTATAGGTTGCTTTCTATTCACTTCATCCGTTGACAGCTTTGGTAACAGTACAGTACCACGAAGGTTAGTCACTTACAGCCCAACCGAAAGTTGATCTTTCTACAACAAAAGAGACCATATTACCTTATTTGTAAGTCATTATGGGATCTGTGGAATTCGTGTTCACGTCGCTGTCCTTTGGATAGTACTCCTTACGTCCTGGCACAATTACTCAAGTAACTTCAGACCACAAGGAGAAAGCACCGAAGTCGGGGTTTTCTGTCATTAAAGCTTACCAGCGGTCCATGTCCTTGACCGTGCAAGGGTTCGAACACAGGACTCATTTTTATCCCATCAGAAAGAAAATTAAACTTTGGTACTTTCATTTCCACTGTTATTTATCTGACAGACCACACAGTTTCGTAACTCCAAGGATCAAACAACAATAAGGTAAAGACTCCGGCTTTCACTGTAAATTTCAACAATAAACCAAGGTAAGTTAGGTCGTATCCAGTTTCAACTTCACCAATATTTTTTTGTATTTCTGTGGTTATTATAAATTTGCCTTTTACTTCTTGGTATAAACTTGGCGAAGTCCTCCGTTATGTTCATCCACCATACAGCTCATTCATTTATTCATTCACTCAGTCATTCATTTATCCGGGTGGTCGGATGCAGGAACCGCTAGGGGCCATAACCCAAAGCCACCTGCCCCGCTACCACCCAAATTGTCAGTTGCCCGAAGGTATGCATAGAAGAGGGACAATTAGCTAGTCTAATGAAAATCGGGGCTTGTGTGAAGTAAGCCAAACAACTCCCCTCCAACCCAATCACCCCCATATTCACCCCACTTCTACCACCCCCCTCTCCCATCGATTCTTCTTCAATAGCCTCTAGGATGTTCTGCTTGTTTTCGTGGACAGGATACCGTGTGTGTGTGTGTGTGTGTGTGTGTGTGTGTGTCAATTGAGGACTCGAATGTGTGTATGCAGCACATCCGGTATTGAGCGTAGCCGCTGTGTGCATCCATGCCTATCCCTCCGAATACACCTTCTGACGTACGGGCGCATAAGTAGCTAGACACTGGAAGCCAAGCGCCAAGGTTTAAGTCAGCGTGTCTGATTGCCTGAGGCCAGACATTTGATTAAGCAACCCTCGAGGCAAGTTTGCCCCCACGCGAATTTCAGCACACGCATTTCTTTCGCTGATATTTCACGAAAATAGCACTAGAGAAACAAACAAAACTTCGGTGATTTTTGATGATACCGCTCGTCCAGATGCTGAACAACTCACTTCGAAAAATGTGTGGAGGTAAATCGTAC